TGCATACAAAAAAGCTAGGAATATATTTTGGTGCATTAAAACTTTAATATATTTGCTTGAAAATTAACTGAATCCTAAAATGAGGCATCAGTGGTTGTTTTCTGCAGAGGGTGGTGTTTAATCTGTGCCTGGGGACAACCAATATCTAGCAGACACTGAGCAGTCACAGTGTTGGGAGCTATTTACCTATTCTGTCTGTCACTTCTGCCATTTGTTTATCTCGGCCCCAGACTATCAGCTCTCGCAGGTGCCTCTGCAATTTCAACTCTATGCTTTTGAGTCCACAAAAAGGGTTGTCAAGGTCCCTGAGGCTCATTAAAAACAAGTTACACTGGTGTAAGTCTGCTCGGGCACTACCCTGCAGACCAAGAGATACAGGCTGAAATTTACAGAGTAGACTTTCAAGCAAAAATTTAACAGAACTTAACTACAGAAATTTAGCTTTGGGGGAGGGAAAGTCAATGCTCCTGTAAACATCTGAAAACATAGTGAATTAAAACTCCAGCTGGGATATTTTGGCTGATTAAAAACAGACTAAAATAAATACTGATGCTTCCATGAGGTGACAAAACCATGAGGATTAATGCTGTATTTGAGTTACCTCAGAAGTCAGATGTCCAAGCTAGGAATGACGTCACACCCGAGTTACCAGCGTTTTAGTTACCAAGTCGGAAAAAAGCTAAATTTGAGGCGGAAACAAGATGGCTATATCTAAGTTATTTTAGCGTTTGTTATTTTAGTTACTTTAAGTCATTTCAGTATCCCCCTTTTGTAGATGTAGCTATCTTATTTCCGCCTCTGATTTTGTTTTTTCCGACTCAGGAACTGAAACGCTGGTAACTCGGGTGTGACGTCATTCCCAGCCTGGGCATCTAACTTCTGAGGTAACTCGAACGCAGCATAATTATTCTTATATTGTTGTCAATTATGCCTGAAACCATAGCTAGTGTAGATGTCAGAGTAAGCAGATGGAGATTTTATCGTTAAAAGACACTTCTTATGCATTGATGGAACCAAATCATTAAAGGAATAATGTACCATTACCTTGGTATTGGTATTTTTCCCCCACGGGAGGCACCAGAATCAACCCAAACTAAAGATCCACACAGGAGCTTTAAGTTAGAGAAGGTATCAGAAAGACAGATGTTTTATGCTGCATTCCAGTTACCTTGGAAGTCAGAAGTCCGAGCTGGGAATAACGTCACACCCGAGTTACCAGCGTAAGTCGGAAGACAGCAAAATCGGAGGCTGAAACAAGATGGCAAGATTTTAGTGCTTGCCTTGTCCGAATATAAGCAAAGACAAGGCAAGTGCTAAAATAACTTTTGTAGATATAGCCATCTTGTTTTCATCTCAGATTTTGCTTTTTTCCGACTTGGTAACTGAAATGCTGGGAACTCAGGTATGACGTCATTCCCAGCTCAGACATCTGACTTCCGAGGTAACTCAAACACAGCATAATCATCAAGCTGAATGTAATGACTCTTATCAAATGATACCTTATTTCAGTAACACTTTACATAAACCCACCACTCATAATGTATGATTAGCACATTAATAAAGCCTTATAAATCCATCTATCAGCTCATTCTACTTTTAAGAGTAAAGCTTATCACTTACTGTGGTTATTTGATGCAGAAAAGGACAAAAAAGTAGACTTCTGTCTCTGCTTTATTTTGAATTTATTTTTGACACAATCACACACTCAAAACAGTAGTCCAAACAAATGAGAAGCACTGAAAGGGCAATAACTCGCCTCTGTAGTCACTCAGACATCTCTGTTGACATGTTGCCAAGGAGTAGGAAGAAGCATAAATTTATTAAATAACAACACAGAAATTGCTTGTCTAGACACTGATGGTCTTGTTTGCTTTGTGGGTCTCAAAGACCCATTACTATTTATTTCAGTCATAAAGTCTCCACATGGTTTTGACTTAGCGCCACAGGGGCATAAAACATTGCGGACACAACTTCAACTTGTGCTTTGACAAGCTTTTGGTGCGTCTATATTTTCTCCGTTCAAAGCGACACGTCAGAGTTTTTCCCTCATCTTGATGTGTGAAGTTACGCTCAGATACATCCCTTTGGGTGTGTCTGGGTCACTTCTGGATTTCACAATTTTCTATTCCTTTTTTAAGGTGAAAAGGTGATTTGTTTTATCTTTTATGATGCAAAACTCTTAGCAAGGTGAATCACACCCCCCAAAACAGAGAGGCATCCTCTCCTTGTTCCCATGGAAACAAGACTGAATTAACTGGCATCAGGTGAAGGTGGCACCAGGTGTAGTCATCCTGTCCATTTCCAGTTCTTCCTTTTCTCTCTCCCTCTGTCTCTCATTGAATCTTTGACTCTCCTCCTCTCCTCTGCAAACTATCAGCCTTGTCCATCTGCTTCCCCCACAACCTCACTGCTTTTCTTGACAATGAGAGGCTACAGTTGCTATGGAGATAATGACGGCCCCATCTCCATTAATAAAATTTAGTGAACATGTCTACACAGGCTTGCCATCTGAGCAGATGGCAAATTCCACCAATATCATCATTTGCTTCCTGCCTCCTGCGGATCACAGTTAATGTTCACTGTTTTTATGTTTCAGGTAGCATCTGTTTGTGCAGCCACAAGGACAGGGTAGTAGTAGATACAATGATTTGATTGGTTGATTTTAACACTGGTTATACTGAGCAATGAATCAGTGAAGGCCAAGGTTAAAGCCTCATTACAGAGCAGAGCAGCTTTGTCTTAAAAACCACCGTATTCATGAGCATTTTTCCTCTATTGACATGCTCAGTCAGGCTCCCGCTCTGTCATAATCTTGCACTGCTGTGCTCAGAGTTAAAATGTGTAAAATTAATTTAGAGGGGCTGGAAAAACGCACTGCATCAAAGCTTCTACAGCTATCAAAAAAACAAAAACTATAAATAATGAATCATTTTTTTAAGTACAATCAGAAAACAGCTATCTTTAGGGGATTTGCATGCAAATCCAGCTAAGGTTACAACTCTATTTGCCAATTTAACCGGATAACTGACTTTTTCACAATTTTTAAGCATTGGGCAAAAACCAAATTATTGATATGCCCTCCTCTGCTACGGCAGGTGGTGACATGCCTCCTTATAGCTTGTTACCAACCTGAAGCGGCTGATGTATTATGTATCAAAACAGGTGGCAAAACAAGAGGCTGATGGGATGAATGTTGAAATGAATGATGAAAACACTGTCACAGTTTCTGAATTGTTTGTTTGATAGGAAAGTGCTGTCATTTTTTAGTCCTTTCTTCATCTGTCAAGTTTTTTTTTTTTTTTTACTTCCCTGCTTCCTGGCAATGCATCTGTGCTATTCAACTTCTGGCTCAAAGCCCAGCATGCAAAAACTCAGGCCAGTTTCAGTCCAATAGAGTGGTATACACAAAAGAGTGAATTGATTTACAACCCAATTATTCAGGTATGTTTGTCCGACTATGAGAAGTTCAATTTAGAGCAATTTAAGTGTTTATTTAAAAGTCCAAACAAATCAGTTCTGAGTGTAGTGTGCTAAATTCTTGCTCACTCAGTGCCAGGAATTATTTCCCAGCTATCACCTGTTTAGGAAGTAACCATAGACTGTATGGACAACTTGGTTCTGCTTTCCGCCAGTACGGATTTGAAGCCAAAAAGCTCTCAGTAATTCCGCATTTTTTCTCCATTTCCTGAAATCAACATTGCGCACTTCACCACCTGCACAATAGCGTTGTTAGCATTCGGCGGGAGAGTCGCTGAGAGTTGCTGTGGTGACGCTCTGCTCAAACAGCATATCCCCCGGGTGAGCTACTCAATCTTTGTACACCCATAAGCTGTATCAGGTGTCAATCATAAACCCCCTTATAACTTTTAAAAACGGAGCTGCACAGAAAAAAGAGGACTTGAGCACAAACCAGTCTGACAGTAACTACATGTCAACATCACAAGCAGGCAGGAGAAAAAATTATGTTCCGTGTAATAAATTTCAAAAGTTTGTCCAAAGCCGCATAAGCTTTGCTGGCGGAGGTGGGATTTATGACCAATACTGCAGCCTGTCAACAGAGGGTGCTGTTCTCGGAGTGGCTTCACTCTCGGAGTAGGCAGACAGCGTCCATTCTATATACAGTCTATGGAAGTAACTAAATATCATCATTAGCAAACATGTTTCAAAAGATGTGGTTTTCTGTTAAAATAGGGCCTGATCTTCCTCCAGATTTCACTCTACCTTTTTTGGTTGCCCATTATTTAAGACACTATGAAACAACAATTTATAGATATCTAACATTTACATTATTCATGATCTACAACAAGGGGGTTTGATATAGTTGAATAGTGCATAAGGTCAATGGAAAATGGCAGATGTATGGTGTGAATCTCATCATTGAAAATAAAATGTTACTGTACATTTCAAGGTGGACTTTTCAGTAAAGTAAAGTATTTTGATTCAAAGTTGGCAGAGATGACAAAAGTGTTGAAAGGATATATCAATATGAAGCCAAGTGTGGTGAACAGTTTGTGCCAGGGAAGTTTGGAAAAAAAAAATCAGAAGATTGTCAATTGAGGGGAAAAAAAGTGATGAATCCTTCCTTTCCTCTACATAATAAACTACCGGGTTGATGTAACACCAGTGCAAAGAGCAGTTTATGAAATTCACAATAAGTCCTGCAGAGGAGTGGAGGAGAATAGAAGCTGGAGCACATTCGGGAGGTGACTGTAGAGGTTATGTGTGTGCTATTGATCGGAGCAGCATAAAAAGACAGCAGGTGAAGAAGCTGACATTATATGATATCAATCCTTGTGTGTGAGCCCTCCGATCGATGCGTAACAATTACATGAGTCGTTGCATTTCAACATTGTTTTAATCTTTTAATCTGCCACCTACACCATCAGTTTCTTTCGGCTTTGTTTTTCATGCAGGAAATCAAAACAAAGCTAACGTTGAGGGTAATCGTTTTGTCTTTAGAAAATTTCTCTCATCTCTCTGGTTTTTTAAAATATAAGGATCAGGTTTTGCACAAGCATGAGAGTCCAAACTGAGGGTGCTAGTTGTTCTGCCAGCACCCCAGAGGCCAATGCTACGGAGCAGTTAGCCGCCAGCAGAGAGCCAGGAAAATCCACGCCACGCTGCCAGTAAGTAGGAGTCTGTGCATTTCTTCTTCTCCATTTAACCGGGTAAAAGAGAGAGATGTGCTCCAGCCACTGTCCTGCATTGATGCAGGAGCATTCAGGCTAAAAAAAAAAGAGGGCTATTTTTTCTCCTCTTCTCAGTATGCTGACAATAAAGAGCGTGATGTATTATCTAGTGGCACCTGGGCTCTGGTGTATGTCCACTGTCATTGCCGTTGGGCTCAAAAGAAGCAGTGGGAGCTGAGGTGTTTCATGCTCATGAGTAATGTAGCATTTGTTGAACCACCTCAGGTCCTCACTGGAGTGAATAAGGTGTGTCCTGAATCCTGTAAGTAATCCCAAATGCTAAAATTGATGTAATGGGGCTTAAAGTGCAGGAGCAGAAAAACGAGAAACCAACTCCAAGAGAAACCGACAGCCAGATTTTATCTTTCACCTTTCACCCAGCGAAGTAATTAAATAAGCCACTCATCCCTTAAGACAGACACAGGTTTCTCCTTTGTGGCTAATTACTGTGTGGATTTACAAGTCAAGATGGCAAATGAAAAAAAAAAGGAATTGAATAAGCCTCACACCTCCTTTTCTGCCTGTTTCCTGGAAAGACAGGAAAAATTGAAGGTGGAAATAATGACTCTGTCACACAATCATGACGCATTATGAAATTTTCATGACAATGAAAATTGGTGTCAAGAGACCAAATTAACCGAAAAATGCCTCTGTCTGTCACCCAACGTGGAGTTGGCTGCACAAGAAGGTGCATGAGACTTCCCCAGCTGTCTGATTCAGGGGCAGGGTAGTTACAGGTATTTTAATTCTTCATCTGCTGCTCTTCAAAAAGAGATAATGTGCATCTTACTCCCTCAATAGTCTGCTTCGTATTTACATGTCCATTTGATAAAGTCCTAATTTTATTCTCTTTTTTTTTCACAACAGGCCTGACATGCTTGTTATATGTTTTGTCTAAGCTACAGTACTGCCACCAGCTGGACTGAGAGCCCATATCATAATGCCAGGATATACCAGGATGTAAACAAGCACAGATAGAAGCATCTCGTTGCACAGCATGGTTCAGCAGTATTTTAATAAACAATACTGAGATATAGTTTTAAGTCAGCAGTGTTTGACTGAACTATAGCGTATGGAGGAGTGGGGGCTGGTGGTGAATTTCAGTTTCAACAGCTGGGGAAATTCATCACTTGACACACACATATGTATATATACTGTATTTGCAAGTCTACTCATTCACTTTTTCATTATTTACATGAGTGCATCTGCCTGTGATGTGAATTAAATGTATTTTGTGTCTCTGCAGGTTTACTAATGTGCATCTCGTCTATGAAAAGGACCCACTGTGCAGCACCTGGCCTGAGCGTCTGTCTAATCATGTATCCTATTGAACGGGGAGGAGATGTGCTGCAGCACCACATGTTATCGCCCAGCTAATTGTGTTTAGACTTCAGTACTCAAGATTCATTTCCTGCCAACCAGCATCTGACATCTGGGGGCTCAAATGAAACGATCTTTATCAAATCCCGCTGTATGACTGATACATGATGACTGAATGGGGATTTATTCAAAAAGCAATGATAGACTCTTCATATTCTGCTTGTTGCTGTTGAGAATTCAGATGAAATTAAATCCAATATGTTGTGAACTTTGGAGGAAACAACCTTCACAGGTAACAGACGGATTTTAAATGTGGCTCTTTGGTATGTAATGTTTCCACATGTGTGGGGAAGGAGACTGTTAAGTGTGGGAATAACCTTGAGGGAGATTAGAAATAAGACTCCTGTCTTATTGAGATCAGAGGAAAACTGCAAATCCCTGCAGATGCATGATTACAAGGATTCAGGTCTGACTCGAGTGGGATTTAAAAAAATTACCTGTCACACAAATGCATGCAGACACTAAGGCTGTAAATCATCTAATTATCAATATTGATTGGATCCTGAATTTTAAGAGTCCTGGGTAACACATACTTTCAGATTGATTTGTCAGACTTGGGCAGTAACATCAATCAAGCAATATATCAAAAGACAGATGGTTCAGACAGATTCTTCTTTTTACCGACAGTTTGACTGATGCATTAACCTGCAGTGGCTTTGGGTCTCTCCATTGGCAAGAAACATTTTAAAAATGGGCATAAGGTGGTTAGCTAGCAGGGTAATTTTGGACGTATTAGTCTATGACGTTAGTCAGCTTTCTGTCATACAGATTCGCAGAGTTGCTAATTTGGCAACAGTTATTAAAAACATAATCAGACACATTCAGTCCACTATTTATCTACTGAGTTATATCCACACAGTACAGACTCGTTCTGTTTGTGTGAAACCAGATTTAACCTCAGTGTGTTATACAATGACAGACACAACTAGAATTGCACAAAGGGAAACACTCATATCCTCACATCTAGAACATGTTTTATTTTTAACTCGAGGCCCTTCAGCCATTGCAGATTAAGGATCAGGTACCAGAGCTAGGTGAAATAAATCAACGGATAACTCTTTCAGTTTAATAAACCAGAAACAAACGTGTGACATTTCATTAAAAAAGGACTGACTGATGTAGATCTTGCTGGTGGCGGAGGCAGGGAATCACATCAGCACTGTAATGTTACGCCTCGCTATGAGCTGCATCTCTGGGGGTTTGAAAGTAAACACAGGAGCCCAAATGAGGCGGGGGGGATACAAGCTCGGAGACCTCCCTGTGGATTATATCGACTCTGAGGAGGCTCATCTGTTTCCTTTTCACTCACATCTGCACAGTAGGTCTGTTTGAAATCTGGTCCTCTCTCTTTCTCAGTCAAATGTAGATTGGGAGAAGAAAAATGAGAATTTGCTGCTTATTTGCACTCCTAAAGGTATCCTGAATGCTTAAGATCACACAGATGCACCTCAATTGGGAATGGGTGTTTAGGATTCCAACTCAGTCTTGGTAAAAGATCAATAAATAGCACACATATATCATGGCTTGTCATATGGCATGCTAATATTGTAAAAGAAAAATGTAGAACCAATGCAATGCAGTGAAATGCAGTGGTTTACGGGCAGCCTATGTTTGTGGCCCTTATTGTAGATTTTTGCTTATATTTATTGCTTTTTTATTTATAGACACTATTTTGGAGGCAGCCAAATGCACTTGAACTACTTGAATCCAGCAAACTCCCCTACAGAGACAATAAATGTTAGTGTATTGTATTAAGGCATCGTAAAGTACTGTAGCTGTGCTGTCACTGACCTTTGTGGCGTCTTACATGCTTCCACATACAGACATAAACAACAAAGAAGACTGGAGAGAGACAAAGTGCTCCCTCGGTTGTTGCATGTCTGCCACTTCCAAGATCTTTACTGCAAGTCTCATAATGTGTGGGAGAGTCGAGACTCATTATTAGACCCCTGGACTGAGAGTTTGTGGGAAGGGAGAGATGTTACTTTGCCCTTGGGGGAATGAAGGTAGACTGTGGACAGCAATAAGTGGACTAAGAATAGAAAAGGGCATTATTATGTATGGTGTGCACACTGTGTCAGGGAAGTCACCTAATATAATTTCACAAGAAGGAAAGCCAAGTGGGTCCGAATTCCTTCAGGTTGACTTTTTTATGTTTTAAAACTGTAAATTGTTTTGAACAGGGGTGGTAAATTATGGTTTGGAGGGACTACTGTCATGATATATAACTGACTGTACTTTTTCCACCATCACTGTGCATCTACTCCAAATGACAAAATGATCACTGAATTAGTCCAAGCTTTAAAAAAAAGTGGTAGAGTATGACTTGTATGATTTATTTTGCATGATTCAATCCAAAAATTATTGAGTCCTTATCTCAGTGCCTACGTTTACCTGCTGACTCTGACAACAGCAAATATATAGGTGCTACAGATGAAGATACCTCGGTTTAACATCTTAGATATAAGTAACAACAACAGCTTGATTACACAATGAAGAAAACAAGAAAACTCTTGACTGTTCACCACACATCTGTAAAGCATTGCTATGTACAGTAATTCTATTCTACAATGTTGTTAAATGCTGGACAGGTGCATTTATCATTATAAACTAGTTCAAACTGTGGATGGTTGTTTGCATTTCCACCAATCATGGATACTATTGGAGTCCCATGATCATCCTAGTGTTTACCCACCTCCTCTGAAAATCCACATGCTGATTTTTGAGTCTATAAGAAGGTGCGTCTTGTTTCTACAGAGGGACAAAATTTCAGTCCTCTCAGGCTCTCTAAATCTAACAGCTTCAGTACAGGGGGATTTCTTTAAGTCACCGAGGAAAGGATTTACAGCACACACCTCTACTGCCTTTGTCCACAGAGGATTCACTGAGCCACAAAACTGAGTTACTTGAAACGAGAAAAGACATTTCGCCAGAAAAACGCCATATAATAATGAACAGGACAAGATCAGCGAAGGGTCATAAAGTTCTGCTTTGTGCAGGAGACCCGACACTATCTGAAAAGTAGACTGTGCTGTATCCTGAATACAGGTCTTTTTTTTTCTTGTGATGGAGAGACTGAAAATTCAGGTAAAAAATACCATGTAACAACCTCTCATTCAGAGTTTAAACTCAGAGAGCAGAGATTGGAGTGAATTTCATAAACAATTGAAAGCAAAAGAAAGAAAGAACAGAGTAAAGAGAAATCGCTGAAACAAGCTGTTTGAGGGAGTTACTGGCCTGCGGGGACTTTTCTCACTCCTAGAAGGTTTTGTTTTTCTGAAAACAATATGTCTGTATTTATGAAATACAGACATCCATACTATACTCCGACTCTATATCTACATCTCTCGTCTCTCTGGGGGGGACAGACTGGTGAGCCCCCTCTCCTCCTGACAGTGGGAGGAGCTTAATGCACTGGGACGCCGCGCGCTGCAGCAGTCCCGTCATAACCTCCAGTACACCTGTAGTGTCACTTTCAGGAGCACGAGGGGATTACAAACGAGTCAACCCCGGAGCCATCAAATATGAACGGAGCTGCTTGGGATCACGGCGACGATGCGACATAGGTAAGGAGGCACTTAGGATATCTACTAAAACGGTTTTTGAATGAAGAGGGATTTTGGACTTCAGCGGGTTTCCAGTTTGGGTTGCTGGTGCTTTTTCCTCTTTTGCCTGCGTGTGCGTAATGGACACCTTTGAGAGCAGACGCGTGGTGTTCAGGTGCGTCAATCCAAGAACAAAGGCAAAATGTTGTCTTTTGGACTCTACCAAAAAGATTAAATACTACGATAAAACCAAATGTGAAATGTTTGTTTGCTAAAGACTGAGATCAACTTTGGAGTAGTGTTCTACATTTTGGATAGAAACGTCGCCGATTATCAAACGGGGAAAGAGCTTTTCCTGAGACTTAATCTGCTTTTTTTTTGTCTTTTGTAGGACTATATAAGGTCTTTCCTGAAATTACGATGCATCTCACAGCGGTCATCTTAATTGTGGTCGTGACAGGAATCGCAAAAGGTAATCGGAGATTATTTTCATCTGTCTACTGGGACAAACTATCATAGACAAACGAAAAAAAAAAGATTTGCATCAGGAGCTTTTTTTTCTGCACTGATTCCCTCCCTGTGTGTCAAAGAAAGTGCAAAGGATAAATATTTAATTTCTCTGAATGTTTTATTTTATTTTGGGGAGATCTGTGATGCAAACACTCTCTTGTCCCTCTCTTTCTCTGTCTGTCTCAAAGGTTGGGATTGCAGCGCACGGTGCAGCACAGAAAATGGGTTCTGTGAAAAGCCAGGGAAGTGCAGGTACTAAAAACGACCTCAGATTCCTCTGAAGATCAAGTCCAGTGGGGTTTCTGCAACCTTACTTCCATAAATTGCTGGAGCTGTTAATGCTCCCTCCTCAGAGAAACACAATTGCAATGCAGCCAACTGGATCTGGCTGTTGTGATTTGTTTGGCATCCATGAATTGTGTGAAGTCAACAGCCAAATCAGGGCTGTGTTTGAACAGTGGAAAGCATTGTTATTCTAACAGATAGCTCAAAGCTTTCGGTCACAAAGCATGCTCAGTCTCAAATGATTTTCTGGCAGATGCCTCTCTGTCTGCTCCTGAGCCAAAGTGACTTTATTCTATCCCATTACTGCAAAATCAAATGGGACTTTTACTGTGAAAGGAAAAAGCATGCATTAAGAGACAAAAGCAGGGCTGCAGAGCTCTGTAGGGGGTATATTAATAGTTCATGTCTGCCCTATTTTCTCTCCTCCTTCAGGTGTAAACCAGGCTGGCAAGGAGAGGACTGTGACCAGTGTGTGCCCTTCCCTGGCTGTCTGCATGGAAAGTGCGAGAGGGCATGGCAGTGCATCTGTGAGGAGGGCTGGGTGGGCAGCCTTTGCGACCAAGGTGAGTCTCATTAAACCTTCCTTAAGCAAACCTTAAACCTCCCCTGCCTGCGTCTTCACAGCAGAGGTAAGGGTGAGTCATGGAGCCTCAGGGACAGGATAAATGAAACCATGTCTGGTGAATATAGTAGGAGTATATATATAGGAGGTCTGATAGAGGTAACTTTTGCACTCGTCCTCGGCATCATTTTGCACTTATCCAGCTCGATGCAAACGACAAATAATGTTCATGTTTTATACATTTTTTTTGTTCACCTCTTCATAAAATCGCACAAGCTTGTTACCTGTTTAATTCTTTCACATGTTTTCTGTAATACACAATAAATATTGCAACGTTTCTTGAATATGCACATTTACGAGGCAAAAATTCCAGATTTTGATTCTGCTGCATGTTGGGAAAGAACTGGGTTAAGGAGGACATCTGAAAAACAGCACCAGAAACTACTCCTTTTGTGCTGCTGAGCGTGGAACCCAAAAAAAAGCTCAAAAAAGCTTAAACTGAGTACAGAATTTTAAGTGTCAGTGCCAGCTAAAGGTCGTATTTCAATTTCAAAGACTGTTTCATTTAAACAGTTAGTTAATAACTCTTATCCTATTCTACTATCTACAATGTGCATTATTGCATAAAATGACTGACTGCCCCCGAAGCCAGACTTGAAATAAAGCCAGAAGATTAAAGAGAGTACGATTATTCTGCCTCCGACCTCTTTATCAGTGCACACAGCACATCTCTTATTCTGTTGGAGCATACGAACAGCTTGTAACATGACTGGTAGTGCTTCCATTTCTGTTCTGGGCGACAAGATTCTGCGGTGCAGAGTGTGAATCACAGAAACAAAAGGGGGAAAAAAAAAACAGGCAGAGAGACAGAGAAATGAGAGCACACGGGATCTAAAAACAGCTTGTTTTTCTTGTGAACCGCAGACACCCGCCTGTGCTCATCCCGGCCTTGTGCTGGAAATGCCACCTGCATAGAGACGGGGGAGGGGGGATACCTGTGCATCTGTCCACAAGGCTACACTGGAGAGAGCTGCCAGCTGAGAAGAGGACCCTGCCACATAAACAGGTAGACACACACTTTATTTTAGATTTTCTATTTAAAATAAAAGAATACACTAAAGCTTTTCAGCCTTATCTGCTATTGTGAATAATTGGAAGTAATAATCAATAAGTGATTCAATGTCCGTCAGCTCCCTTTGTGTACAGAGACAAACGATCGATCAGCCCACATTGAGGCTGTGTGCAGACGTGGAGTCCAGTGGATGATGTTAGCAAAGAAAATAGTTCATGTTTTTTCCCCATACTGTACAAAATTCACCTGTTTTGGAGGCGAGGGAGTGTTTGCAGATTTGTATTTGCAAGTGAATACAAGCATGGCAAAATGCGGCCACTTTTATAGGTGTACAGCTCAGTGGTAAAAAGCAAATTGGAAAAGTGTGCGACAGAAAAATACACCTGCAAACAGGAACATCTGAGCAAAGTAACTGATTAAATAATCCGTCTCAAATTGTAGCCCGTTTGTCATTTTAGAGCTACTGCAAAACATGACAACAAAAGCTGTGTTCCTCTGTGCTTACACAGCCAAATTCAAATCTGCTTTCATGTCACACATGACAACTCTGCTGTAAAACAAAGAAATTTCTGAGAAGGAAATCCCAAGCCTCCACCTGCCACAAACACATCAGCAGCTGTGTTTATTGTGGCCATCCCTTGTTGACAAGCTGACACTCGTGTGCAACAGAAACTAGCGGTGCATACCTTTGCAGTAGCAACAGCAGCACCAGCATCCCAAATCAGGGCTAAATCCCTCTGAAGTCATCGTTCAAAGTTGATGCATCATTAGAGCTCGACAGGGCTGTCACATTTCAGATTCTCAGTGCTGCATGGGACCAACAAGTCAGCCCACGTTGGCTTTTATTTGAAGGACGCGCTAATGATGTTTACTTTGGATGTGTCAGCACACTACCCACAATCCACTGCACCCCACGCCATAGCTTAATGACACATTGGCACAATTCAGTGTCTCCCATTTCATTAAAAATACCGTGCATTTTCAGGCAGAGATAAATGTGCCAAATGCGTCATAATCATTGAGCTAGTCGCTGCAGAGTCATCACAGATAGAGGATGGATAATGGCATTTTTATCCATTTAACTCCAAACCCTGTATGAGCAGTTGTTGTTTTTTTGATGAATCAAAAAGTCAAAGTGTGTAGTACCGAGTGAGTCATATAATCTGGTGACATTTATCACTTTATGAGCCACAGGGGGACACATTTCTAGAGATGTTTGGCTGAACTACTTAATGAGGAACACCTGAACGCCTCATTAGCTGCTTCAGTGAGGCTTTCAAGCCTTGTAAAATACCCAGGAGGAGTCACGTCCATCAAAATATCCAGCATGGCTAGCATTGTTAAGGAATCATTGAATGTGGGGATTACAGACAGTTATGATTCTGGATTTTAAAAAATGAACAAATGAGGGGGGAAAATATATAAATAAAAGAGCAGATCGCTCCCTCAGGGTGTCTCCCTTAGCCCCAAAGCTGTCCCCAGCAGATTTACAGACAGGCCTCATCCGTGGAGAAACCATCCTCCTGTCTATCAGACACATATCAAACAGCCTCAGGGGATGCAGCCTGCTGACATAGCCCCCCCAGACTCTGAACCCCCTGCATGCTCGCTCTCTGTCAGCCTGCCTTGTTATTGACTGAAAGACACACCCAGAATTCAATAACCAAAGCGGTGTCAGTGAGCTTATAACTCCCCACTTCCTCTTCAAAAAATAATCATTTAAGTCTTTTGATAACTTTTAGAATAATGCAGAGCCTTTGCTGTCTGCTTGGGGAATTCATCTCTATTAAAGTCTGCATGAGGTTACATTAATCAGCTCCTCCACTAGACACCAGAAGTGTCGGAAAAGTGTGCAAGAGCAATTACTCTTTTGACTCCTTCAGACAAAATGTTCAGGACTTGTGTAATTATACAAGTCACTATTCGAGTTATTGATTGTCTTTAGGCTTTCATCAGTGCTTCTTGTTTGTGCACCATGGATGCATTGATCAGATTTGCTGCTGATGTCAGAGCAGAAATCTTTCTGCGGAGGAGAAGCTTCGACTTCTTTCATCTTCTGTTCCAGTTAAAGATTTTTACTCGGTAGAAAATGAGCTGCTCGCTGTTTTTCATTAGCGCTTAGCAAAGTGACTAAAATCAATGACACAAAATTAATAACTTTATTACCCAAGAGCTGAGATGATTAGTTGATTGATTAAAAAAAGTTAATAAGCAAGAGCAAATGGATTGAATCGATTACACAAGTCCTTCTTCAAGCAAAATTGCCCCAGTGTCTCAAGTCTGGACCAGTTAGATGTAGACTTGAATATCTGGGGAGTTATTTGATATAGTGGAAATAAAACAAACAATAAAATGACACCACATGTAGTTAAAGTGGCTGTTTTTAAATTAATTAATTAATTAATTAATAAAAAAAACTTTTTTTCAGACATTTAATTGACCAGAAAAGCAATGAAATTATCAAATGCTCCAGTAATGAAAGTCACCTTCGTTCCTGCTAGGTTTTTAGAGCTTCTTTTCATTACATATCAAAAAGCAAACAAAAAATAAGTTGGTGAAGTCATTAAAAACAGCATAATTTACAGTGCAGCACTGTAAAGTGAGTGTATGACTTTGATTTCTCGCCGACATCCATTGATTTCCCATCAATGCGACCACATTTACACTTTTCAGGAGTTCCAGTTTGGTCACACAGGTCTTTAATGCACATTACAGATGTTAAAATGGACTCTAACTGTAACAATATGCCAACCTGAGGACAAGTCCTACTCAATGTTGACTGACCCGCAGTCATTTGCCACCTGTTGAGCAAGCACTGTAGTAAACGTCATGGATTCACTTTTATCCCAAGGTTCTTGATGATTTGTGTGCTTCAAAAAAAGGGGTCCTGTCAGCTAGCCCTAATAAATTCAATGAAAAATGGGCCCAGAACACTACCCTGGGGTACTCAGTGCATTATGGACATCAATTTAACTGGGAAACATCTTTGAAAATGACTGATGCTTGGATCACTCGACAGTTGGCGTCCAACCACAGGATTAAATATACTGCCGTAAAGCTGTGTGCCAGTTTTCCTGCTGCATCCTCACTTTGTGTTTCTCTGTCCTCTAGCTCTCCTTGTCACAACGGAGGCACATGTACCGATGCTGATGGCTCAGCAGGTTTCTCCTCCTGCTTATGTCCCCCTGGATTTTCTGGGGACTTTTGTGAGATCAGCATTGACAGCTGCCAGCCTAACCCCTGCCTCAACGGTGGTAACTGTACAAACCACGGCCTGGCCTTTACCTGCGACTGTCCACGCGGCTTCAGCGGCTTCACTTGTAATGATACCAGCAGCCTCTCGCCGTGCGCTGGCAGGCCCTGTGCCAACAAGGGCACGTGTGTTGGTCAACCAGATGGAACCTTTCGGTGCGTTTGCCAGAAATGGTTTTCAGGTCCCACTTGTTCTGTACAGCACAGACCGAAAGCAAAGCCCAAGGCGGTTAGTGCTCGGCCTGTGGACCACAGAGTGTTTGCTCTGACTCCGCAGCATTACTCTCTCCCTGCTCACACCTTTCACAAGCTTCTCCGACCTCCAGAGAGAGACCTGCTCAAGATCACCCTGAAGGAAACTGTGCACTCCCCGGGCTTCCTTGTCACCCATGGTCAGCTGGTCTGCTTTGGTATGCTGGCCGTGCTCACCTGTCTGGTTATACTGGGAACTACAGGCATTGTGTTTTTTGGTCGCTGTGAGACATGGATGGCTAACGCCAAGTACAGCCAGCTTGTTCGTCAGCAAAGGGAACACCTGCTGAGAGAAGCTGGAACCATGAGCCAGGAGGAGCCAGAGCACTCAGTAAATATCATCCTGCCAGAGAAGATTAGACTAACAAGCTTTGGGAGACACTACACCTCAATATGATTAAATGTCCCCCCACATGGAAGGAGTTTAATGTGAGGAGAAATGCCTGAAAAGAGCACGAGGGGAATACTATGACTGTTGTACAGCGGTGTTAATAAAGTGTTGCATACTGAACTTTACTGGAGCGTATTTGAATGTAGTCTACTGGACTTAGTAGACAACTCTGACGCTGGATTGTAGATGGTCTTTTCTTCATGGAAACTGCTCAAATGTACAAAATGAGAAAATATGATCCAACAAAAAGCACCTAAACAACTGGTTTAATTATATCATCGTGTTACAATTATATACATTCTCACAGTCAACCTCTTGGTTCAGGTTGATTGTGCTTAACTAAGAAGAGATATGAGGCCGAGTTACACTGAAACAAAACCACATCTTGCCATCAGTTTTAATGACGGTTTCATAATAAATCAACTGGCATTTTATTTCATTATCTGACCCATGTAAAGCCTCTCCGAATATGAAGATTTAATGCTTCTTTGTCTTTTGTGGAACTTTGACTAGAACCATGAGACATGTTTAACCCTCCTCCTGTGTAGGGCCCCGGTTTTGATTTTAAATGCTTAAAGGAACCACATTATTTTTTTTGCATCAAGACTTTTTGACTTTGTCAGGAACCTCTATTTCAACAAAATAAAAATAAAAAGTTAAATTGACTAAATTATAAAATGCTCTTATTAAAATTATGGCACTTGTGGTGTTAGGGTTGCTGTTGACCCGGTTAGATTAATATCTAATAATCAGAGCAAAAACTGAAATCATATGTGCACTGGCAGGCACCACACTGACAGTCAGATCCTCTTCCAATCATGTGAGATTTAGGAAATTCTCATTTTTCCATGTTTTTTCCCTGCACAAAAAACTACATCGGGCATGTCCACACGTGAGATCAATTCAGTATAGATGTCTGCATGAGGGGTATACTGACAAAGAAAGGCCCAGAAGCCCACTACAAAAAATACTATAATCAATATTTTCATGCATAATGAAGCCACACAAGGTAACCTAAAGATGAGAACCAAATTGGGTGATAGAGAAATGTTTTTAGTGTAATTTACAGCTGATTTAAGACATGGGTCAAAACCGACCCATAACATGGTGGGTGCGTAGTAAAGGTTAACACAGGAGGAAGGTTAAATAGCTGATGTACTCTCACTACCTTTACTTTTACATTTTAAGACCAAACTATTACCAACTGATTATAAAATTAGTGAACAAATAATCATTAGTTACAACCCTGACCGTCTTCATTGTGGTTTCGCCTTTTTGTAATGATGCAAAAATACTTATTGTGAGTTTGTACATATAAGTATGTGCAGTTAAAGAGTGGATTTATTCGTTTCCACATTCTGCAAACACAGCTGTACCTTCAAATCCTGCAGGTCATGTCTATATAAAAGGTGTGACTTTACAGTTTTGTGCACGGAGGTGGTTTCATTTCCTGAATGCCACTCAGTCGTCTCCTGCAGATGTATTAGTATTAAGTTGTTGGTGTTAAAGCTATATACTCAGACGTATACTCTGTTTATAGGCATCGTTGGCTGTTTTCGGCTCCCTGAAGAAATGCCACTCTCTGTTTTGCTTTTTGTCTTTTTGTTTGAGTGCCATAAACATCTTTAATACTTAAACCCAGTGATCTGTCCAAAATTCATCTGCAGCTTCTTTGAGGTTTCTCTAAGGTGACTGTGTCCTCTGTTGGTGTCATAATCTACATCTAACAGGTTAGACTCTGAGCTCACACAAATCAATACTGTTAGAGCTTATTGACTTCTCTCATCATGCATGAGATTACAACCCTCTCTTGATCAAAGGGAAAATTATTGGGTTCAGGTAGATACTCTTAATTTGCTGTTTTTTGCAGTTTTCTGTCGTGATTTTCTTCTGCTTAAAGTTTTAGGTGTCTCGTCATTTTTGCGAAAGCTACATTTTATAATTGTAGAGGTGGCAGTTCTGCAGGGACAGTGACTGTGACTGTACAGTGCTTATTAGTATTCGTTCCAGCCTGGGATTAGTTATTGTTGTACCAGATAATGTTTTGTTGTCGGTTTGTTACTTTCAATAAAATATTTGAAGTCATCAGCTTTTTCTTGATGTCCTCTGTGAAGACTTCAAATTCTGTATCTGAGCTCCAGGATGAGAAAGTGAGGCCAGGATTAGATGCTCATCACCTGACCTCAGATAAGATCAACAACTCCCCTCCTGCTCTGTGATGGCAAATTTTCTCCAGAGTTATCAGCTTTAAAGAAACAGTACCTTTATGGAGTTGCAGTCTCTGTCGCCACCCTGTGGTGCAAGTTGCCTACTTCACCACTGGCTGCAAAAAGTAAGATCTGGGCAAGGTTGGTGAAGTCACGAAATAATGATCCACATAGTGACCTGAGAGTAAAAATGGTATTACATTAATAAAATAGGTAAAGATAACTGATGTCTGAGCAGAAGCAAAGTGCAACATCCAGAAAAAGACATGAAAGATGCAGGGAGATAAAACTGAGTTCATTTATTCCATTGGGGAACTTATGATGATACTAGAAAAAATGCATTTCCTTGCAGAAAATGCATGGAAATGCTGAGTGCTGAAATCTGAAAAAGCAATGCTGAACTGCTAATAAATGGAGAGAGGTATAAATGTAAAAGCTGTTGAAAAAGGGGTGAAAAAGAAATAGAAGTTGGATAATTGTGAAAATGGATGAAGGACAAATAGTATGAATATGCTTCTCTAAAAGGAAATTTTATTCATGCTGAAAGAGGCCAGAAAAATGTCTAAAATAAATGTCGGTAATAAACTTCTGTGTTTTTTCTGACATACTTTTCGTCTCTTGGTACATGTTAGGTTTACTTTTGTCATTTTCAACCTCTGAAATTCTTCAAGATGTCTTCAGCCAAAGTCTGCCAGTTGTGCAGGGCCTTCCCAAGCCTCAACCAACTGGCCAGCCAATCACTGGACTGAGCTTTGTAAGCTCTGACTCCATTGACCCAAAAAGTGACCTCATCTGTGCGTAGATCCCGGTCTCTCCAGTGACATGTGTGTCCAGCTGTTTGAGGAACTCAGATAAGTCCTTGTCAAGCTCTCTCAGGTCCTTCTGCCCTTCAGAAGCCTCACCGTCAGGAGAAGGGTGTCTTCTGAACAGCTTAAGGCTCATGTTTAGCAATCGTTCTTCTTATTCTTATTATTCTTATTCTTCTTCTTCTTATTATTATTGTTATTGTTGTTGTTGTTTCGTACCTTTTTTGCAACTTTTCAACTCCTTCCCACTTTGTTTGCTATTTCAACCGTTCAACTTTTAAACTATTTCTCTCTTTTAAACTATTCCTCCCCCCTAGGCAGCTTCTCATTCAAAACATCAGTTGGTCCTTTGATCTGTTTAGAATGCATTGATAAACAGACACACACACACACACACACACACTGACAATGTGTGTGCGTTAGTCTCTCTCTATGACACCTGCATGTACACACAGTAAATATGTGTGTACATGTGTGAGTGTCTCTCTGTTTATAAGACCTACATGTGCACACTTAGACTTTGTCTGCTTCACCACCCATCTTCTCCCACAAACTTTGAGCTACAGAAACTATTCTGGGCTCCAGAAATTCAGCTCATTAAGGACACTACGGGATGTATTCAGGATTTTGTTAATTAATTGTATCAACGTGTTCATCAGAATCTTGCGGTTCTAATAAGCTCCTGAATAGAGCAGTTACAGAGGAAGAGCATCAGTGCCTAGTAGGAGAGCGGTTTCCTCAGCTTCAAGCCTCCTTCAAAATTTCAGCTCATTGAGGACATTATGGGGTTTTTATTCATTTAAAATTTTCCCATTTTAAAATCACTCAGTGATGATTTATTATTTTATTTTTCAAACTAATTAAAACCCATTTAAACTTATTCAAACCTGTCTGATACTCGAATAATATAGAGAGGGCAGATTTCTCTAATGAGGAATTTTTTAATTTAATTAATAATGGCAGGGAAAGTATCCCAGCTGAAATAGTGGTGCCAGATCATGATAAAGAGATCTTAGAAATTGTGAAAGCTACAGAAGACGCCCTCGGTGGTGAGGCAGCTGTACCAGAAGAAAACTGTGAAAACCACCTGCCTCCTGACACAAATCAAGACCTGGATGTAGAGACAGACACAGTCAGGAAACACCAAGGGACCCCTGAAGAGAGTGTTGTTTCTGAGACAAACAGCCCAGAAAATGAAGTACCTGAAAGGCTGCATTTAGACACCCCAGAACAAGAAACCACCTGTCCCTAGGGGGGAGGAAGACAAGGTAGAAGAGGAACCCACTCCTGCTGCCCCAGACTTCAGTTACGAGAAAAACACCCAACTCTTCCAGGAGCTGTGTGAGCAGAGAGAAAAAGCTTCCCAGCGCAGCGCCCAGCTCCAAGTGAAGCTGGTGGAGTACTTTTATCTCGTTTTATGTTAAAGACTGTTTATCTCAAATATTGCTTTTGTTGACTCAAAAATAATCCGTATATGCATTTTAAACCCCGTCTAAAAACCCACTTTTATTTACTTATTTATTTTTTATTTTATTGCTTTTTATTATATTTGAAAACAACCATTTATTGTTGTTTTATGTTTTTGTTATTATGTACAGCACTTTGTGTCAGCTTTCGTTGTATTCAAAGTGCGCTATAAAAAAAAGTTGAGTTAAGCTGAGTAAAAGGTACACAAGTATTCGCTAAAATGTTGCTAATGTCAGCAACAAATATCATAAAAAGTAAAGTCAGAAAAGTTTTGTTAAATGAGAATACTTTTGCACATAGTGAGAGTCAGCAGTCCAGCTCTGAGAAACGTGTGACTATGATGTAGTTTCATTATGTGACCACAAGGTGTCATGCACAGAAAAGAAGACGGATGATGGTTGGCTATATTTAGGAATTGAGCCTGGAGGGTTGTGTTTAAGTGCACTGAAAGAATAAAGAAAATAGTCAACTGTTTTCTGACTTTGCTTGTTTTCAGTAAAGCTGCTTTGGATCATTTCAAACACCAAAAACAAAAAAAAACATTATTAGAAAGAATAAACATGAAACAAGAATGGTTCATTGCTCTAATGTGGTTTCTTTTATTTTTGACTGCTTCCTCCAAGTGGAAATATTAGAAGAGTAAACAATAACAGCGGGCTATCTAATATGACAGAACTTTTTTTTTACTGGTTCTGCACTACAAACAACCCTCTCTCACTGTACATCGAACTCATTTGGAAATGTCTCAGAGGCTCCTGCTGCCTGCGCAACCGCGTGTCCCTGACCTACAAAAACTCACCTCAGTAAATCTCCGCTGTACAGTACAGTAAAGTACAGTGCAGCTGAGTGTATGACTGACATTATACAAGTTATACAAGTTCAAATGCTCAACTAAATGTTAGTCAGCAGAGAGTACGTATGGGTTACAATCTTTTCTTAACACCCCATCCTGGCACCAATGGCCTCTTAGTGTGGCTAATTCAGTCAATGCTGTAACCAAGGCTCCAATTAAGCTTCTGAGTACATGTTCACACATAGCAGCACTTACGGGGTTGTTTGTTTATAATGGTATAGAGTGCTTAACTGTGCTAGTGCTGAACTGAAACCCTTCTGTGAGCGAGGCCCCAGCCCACGTGACTGAGGGGCCCTCAACTTTGACGTTTAGAAAGTGCCACAAAAAAAAAAAGACCTCCACCAAGTCATAAAACAAAACAGAAGAGCAAAAGTTAAATCTCCCTCCCCCACAGCCTGAGACCCTTAACCCTTTGTTCCAGTCTGCCTCACTCAGTCAGACGAGACTCAGCATCCGTGGAAAATCACAAGTGGAAAGAATCCAGACCCGGAGAGTTCCAGGAGGTGTTTCTTTTTCTTTTTCTTTTTTTTTTTAAGGGTCAGGCTTCACGTTGTATTTCATTGAGGCAGGCAGGTACCCCTGTGTCAAGCTGTCAGCTCCACATACAGTACATACTGCAGGTTTATGTGTTAAATGTGTTCCAGATGAGAAGTAAAGTGAGGTGAACCCCCAGCAGGCAGCCCAGCAGCAGATTTTCTAATCACACTGGACTCTTCTTCTGCTGTGTGATTGTGACAGCAAACATCTGTTTGAATGTAGTTTTGTCTACATTTTTACTATAAATCTAAACAAAGCGTAAACAAGGTGATTTCTTTTGCTTTTGGTTATCAGTTCATGGGGCCAAAGCGAAACTACGGAGTCCCTTACGCTCTATAGGGTCGTAGTGTTTCTTTATCCTGTTTATACAAGTGACCTAGTCTGCAGGTTTCTGAGTCGGTATGATTCCATCGGTCATTAAAATGCCATTATTTGCCAGAAATGTCCTTTTTGATATTGTGTGTTTGCTGTAAAAACATCAAGTTTTATCAGTGTTTTAAGAGTTGAGGGTGCACCCCATGCATGGTGAGGTAAATATAACTTCTGCTAAAATGTGTTTAAGCTCCTATGAGGATTTTTTTTAACATTTGTGAAATAAATTGAAATTCACATTGACATTACATAAAAAACAAACAAGATCATCATCAAATAAGATTGAGGATTTTTATCCTATGATTTAAATGCCTGAAACAGTTTTTCTATTTCCTCATGAAACATTCACCATGATACATGTGAAGGTAAAAAATGAGGGATTGATGTTTTTGTTTGTTTGTTTCTTTTTCGTTAAAAATCCCTGCGTAAGCCTTTAGGAGGAAAAGATAAACATAGACTGCTTTGTCCACAGGGAGTGCCAAAAGTGACACAAACCTCAAATTCCTCACAGGTGCTTAAAATTTGAAGTCTTATTTATCCATTTGGTATTGAGAAAACTTCCAAATGTATTAATCACTGATATTATAATAAGGATTGGTGTAAAGGAACTGTGGCTTACCAGGTTATTCTTCACTAGCTTATATGAAATTAACCTCTATGGTGTACTAACCAGACCAGTTTAATTACTGCTTTCCTTATTTTGACCTTAAGGTGGTTGTGATATGTCTAATATGCTTCTGTAAATATTAGAATAATTAGAGCCAGAGGAGTCCTTACACCTGGCTCATCCTACATGGTATGAGTGACCAAACAGCTGTTTCCCAAACACGTTATTAGAGCAAGTTAATAACTTATGTGCGCAAAAAGAAACTGATCACCTTTGTGGGACTTCAGGGGCTCTGTGAATGATGGAGATCATAAAAGAAAGGACTCCCAAAAGTGATGTCTTCCCTCTGTTTGACCACAAAAAGATGATATAAAGACGGTAAAGCCAAGAAAAAGACTGCAAATTGTCCTCTTCGCAGCCAGAATCAGTGACTTTGCTTGACAACAAACTCGTCCTCACGTGATAGTGTTGAAGTTCCTCTCAGATTTATGAGGACAATCAAAACTTTCAGCTTCAGCGAAAGCAGCAAATGAGCGGTGCACTGGTTCCTGTAACCTGAGCGTGCCAAAGATACGGCTTTACGCTAGCTTATACTATCCAATGTCATACCTCTACATAGGGGACATAATGTACACTCAACTTCTGAGAGATTTATGCCTGCATAGGAAGCAAAAGCTGAGATTTCTAACTCTGGGACCACAGGAACACACATAACTTCTATCTAGGAGCTGGAAACTGGAAGGATGTGGTCTGCTATGTCTCAGACCAGAAGAGAAACAGATCTTGTTTGTCAGACCTGTAACAAAGGATCTCTTCATTTTAGTCAGCTTTAACACAAACTATACCTCCAAAACTTTTAAAGGGACATTTACAACAGATGAAAATCACTGAGAGAACCATTTTCTGCTCTTCAACAATGAGTATTCTTGTGTTGTCTCTGCAGTTGAGTTTCTAAACCCTGTTGTGATGCATCTTCTGTGATTTGTCCCAGTTGTGGTTTCCCCCCTTCGCTGGAGGTAACAGCTTTATATTTGCGGGTTGATGATGAATAACGGTACTGTAGAAGCTGGGGATTCGGGGAGCTGAAGCATCTGACAAGCTGTTAGTCCACATAGAGGTTGCGTCAGCATTAATATCTAGTCTCCTGAGTCATCTGTGACTGAGGCTGAGCCCCCCCCAGCTGAGCCTTTACAGCATCATGACTTCTATAGAGCCTCTGATGGGATTTTCTCTCAGTTTTAGATGCTGTGTAACCAAAACGACTAAACATGTCCTCCTCATGGTGGTTTTCACGGTATTTGCTGTATGTTTACTCCGAAAGAGCGATGATTTTGCAGTGAATCCCCGCTGAGATCTTCACACTTCTGCAGGAGAACTCTTTCCACAGTTTAACGCCTTCACTCCTAACGCAGTCTCTGCTCTGGGATCGGTGTGCTAAGCCCTGAAAACATTTGTGTGTTTAGACCCTTATAGGTGGATATATCACTCTGCATAATAGGATCAAGCGTGATTATCCTCCTTTAATTGTGAGAGGTCAAAGGCTTAGGAAGGGGCTGTGGAGAACAAAGCACAGCTTTTTCTCTGCAGTGTTAACCTAAGACCCAGAATCACCATGCGAGCAGAGAGAAAAGGTGCCAAAGAGCTAATTAGAGGCTAACTGTCCATCCTGACAGATGCATCTGCAGAAAAAAAGGTAAGAAGGAAAAAGCTGAGTGCTTACAAAGAGAAAAATGACTCCTGATTTGAGAAAAATAAGCCAAAATGATGAAAAAGCTCTGCAATTTCTTCTTTTTGTTCTAATATCAAACCTGAATCACTCAAAATCTTAATGCTTATAAGTTTTTTTTAAAATTTAGCATCCTTGCTGTTCAATGGTTTTTAAGATCTTAAGTGATTTCACATTTTTTTTATTTCTCCACACCAATTTCAAGGTCCAAGCTCCAATAAGAGATTTTCCTAGAGGAATCCATGACAGGCCTGTCGTGCTTTATTGTGCAGGAAATTAAACATTTATCCTTTTGTCTTTCCTCTAAAAAGGAGAAAACAACTGTGAAATTGCTGAACAGCATGCTGTTATTACTTGGAGTAAATGACACACATCAACCATGCACGCAAACAACAATGATGACAAATACACAGTCGAGTTTTTTAATGAAAACAGGCCAACAATAAGTAGATCAAAGTATTTTATTGTATGAAAAATATGTCCATAAAACGGAATAATATTTACAAAAAAACATGTGCGCCATGCAGGGCAGAGAGCAGCAGCATCACGGTGCTCCCCGCTATTCAAAACATCAGTGTCGGTTCCGTGGATTGGGTCCGTTTAAAAACCGAACTTCACAGCAATACCGAGGAGCACAGTAATGCGCACATCTCTACACCCTGACGGATTCTTTACAGGCGCCATCACATGAGGAGAAGACATCAAAACAAAACTTTTGACGCACGAAATACTTTTTTGTTCACAGACATTAAAAAAAGGTCCACACGAACTAACCTCTGCGGATGGATCCTAACAGGATATTTGGAGTCCAATAAGTCAGGAAGGAGTCTAATATCCAAACAAATTACAAAAATAAATACACTTCAACATTATAGACGGAGAGAATCTATCTACTTTGGGTTATAATACTGAAAATTCTGCAGCATTTGTTTTCATTATAGCAGCTCTAAAAGAAGAGAATTTATCTAGACATTTATGACTTGATTATTGGGTTGTTCCATCCTTTTTCTGTACTGATCCAGCCAGTCTCTGAGCTCCGTGATCCGGTACCCCTCGGGTCCCCTGCCCCCCTGGTACACTATCTTCCCCTCCTGCAGGATATAAAGTCTGTCGAAATAAGCTCCGTACGCGGCGTTGGAGGAGTTCTCCATGCTGTCCACCACCACCAGACAGCCGGGCACCTCCAGGTGCATCAGCTGCGCCGCGTGCAGCCGGTCCTCCAGACACCGGTGTTTGGGGATCTGATAGGGCGCGTCCGTGCTCATCCAGCCGTCCGAGGGGTGTGCTTCTTCGATGTACACGACCACTGAGTCCGCGATGTCCGCGTTCTGCTGCACGACTCCCTGGAAAGCCTTGAGCCGCGCCATGAACGGCGGTCAGGTGCAGCTGCCAAAGTTGAGGATGAGTGGTCTCTTGTCCTTTGCGTAATCGAGGATGCGGCTGCGCCTCTGATCCTCCAGCTGAACTACTTCAGTGTTGGGCGCACCGTATCCGAGATGCGCAGCCTTCAGGAAGTCCAGTTTGTGGCCGTGCCACACCGCCTTGAGGGACTCCAAGCTGAAGAGACGGTTGGAGTCTGATATGCAGATAGGAGGATCGATAGCATCACCCTCCTGTTCCTTCATCCTGAAGAAAACCCGCTTCCTGATGCATAAAAAGTCCAGCAGCCAAAACATGACAGCTGCCATGAGAAACCGGGGCAGCAGGGCCAGACACACTAATGCATTCTTAATGGCTTTAATAGTATTCATCATCACCTGGAGTGACAGCCAGAGTGGTCTCTGCGCGCTCCACGGTCTTCTGGGTTGAAGTTGGGTTACTTGCAACTTCCCGTCTTTTTATAGCACCGGCAGATTTGAATGAATCACACCCCGCCTCCAAACTGGGGCCGAGGCCTCACATGGAGGGGATTACCTTCTGTCAACTCCACAGCTTTGAGTTACAGCCAAAAGCCAAGGGTGCAGGACAGGGTGCGGCACAGAAGCGCGTTATTTGGAGACGCTTGGTCATATTCTTGCACCACCAGGCTCTTCGAAAATGTCCGAGTGTTTGCATGAAAGTCAGAATTTGGTGCAGCTGCAGACTTGTGTGCCACTATAACAGCGATTTTGCAGTAGATGCCAATTACCTTCACCCCACTTACAGGACTCTGCTCTGCCACCAAACTGTCCTCAACTGATCTCTCCAACACATGTGAACGCTGGACTGTCTGTCCTCATGCAATGTCACAGCAGTTCATATGTTAGCTCACGTGAGAGGCACCTAGAGTTTCACTTGTGTAACACAATGAATGCCCAATGAGAAAAGTCTTGTTTATAATGGATTGGGGTGGGGGGGTCTAGTGAAAAAGAGGTTGACAGATTGTGAATGCTGGTCTTTTCAGGTGGTCTCTGAAACCAGACAGTCTGGACTTTGTCATACAGTTAGATTTTAAAATAGAGATCAGATTCTGGTAATGAAAGAAGGTGAGTTTGGTTTTGTTTTGATACACTTCCCCCACTGTTCCTGTCTTAGGTTTCAAAATAAAGAGCAAAGCAAAGGACTGTTTCCTCATGGTCCCTAAAGCCCTCCTCAGGTGCACTCCTGCTTGGAGAAAAGGAACACCATGTAACAACTATTTACACTCTCTCTCTCTCCTGAACTCTCTCTCTTGCTTTCTCTCCCCCTCCAAGCTTCCCGTCTGTCAGGGTGAGGGGATACTCGGCAGCACCAGAGCTCATATAGCTTCAGGATATAAATCAGAATCCAGAGGAACTTTGCTTCACTTTGTGGGGTCCGGAGAAATATATTTTCCTCTGCCACGGTCAGAAATCATCTGATTTTTTCTCTCTCTCTCTTTTTTTTTTTTTGGTAAAAAGGGTCTAAGATCATTTTAAAACGTGTTCTGGCTAATGTCTGAGCGCTAGTAAAACTTTAAAGAATGTTGAAAACAGTCTGTTGGTTTCTTGCGAGGTGTTTGACGACGTGCCTCCTCAAAACACTTTCCAATAAACTCGCAGAAAGTTAAAAACACGAGCTTTTCCTGCAACATTCTCACAGAGCAAGTTGAAATATTCCTTTGATCAGCAAAATCTCGTTAAACGTTGCGGAATCTCTTTATTAGAGACAGCGAGCACATCACATTGATCTGTTGATACCTCTAAAACATCTACATCTGTGCTGAGCTAAAGGCCAGCTACATGACATCGCTCACAATGTCCCACAAAGGCGGTCGTCATTGCTCAGTCCGTTGTTTGATGTGGACATTATTGAGCTTCTTTAATGACACAAGTCTTTGTCAATTTCACTACAATTACTTTTCTTTTTGGCAATCTTAACAGAACTTTTATTAGTTAGAAAACCAATGAAGTGCAATTACAGAGTCTGATTTGAGCGAGGAAGGAGGGTGACTCTTCGGCTGCAGCAGCTGGAGTTGATGTCGACCTATTTTTAACTCAAAGACAGTTAAAAGTCGTGACTTAGGGTTTCATCTAATGCACAATGCGGATGAGGTTTTCTACGGAGGTTGTGTTCGCCCTCTTGCAAGTAATAATTTTGCAACATAAATTGCATTTCAAGTCCGAAAAGATGTTGCAGCTGCGTGCAAAACTTGTCATGCAAAAGTTTGTGCTAATATCGGATCAATATCGATATCGGACAGTATTGAAGGCTACAATTTCGGTATCGTATCGGAGGTAAAAAAGTTGAATCAGGACACCCCTACTTTAGACCTTTGGACGCCTTCAGTCACCTTTTTTGTGTGTTTAAAAAGCTGTCGGCTGCCAATTCTGACTAGATTGGTACATAAATTTTGCAAGACAATCACATGCGTTTATGCACCAGTGGTCTGATTTAAAGATACAGTGAAGAAATTAGTAAAGTTTGTGGTATCTAGTGTTTTTAAAGCTCCAGACAACAGTGGCCGTCTGAGGACAAGAAGCTGTTGTACCGAATGACAAGTATGATCCTGCATTTTTTTCAGTTTGAACCATCAAAAGCTTATATAGACAAGTTCTTTGCATAAAACAACCCCCCTCTTCTCCTCCTCCTTCGATGATAAATTACATATGATAATAAATAATGGCTTCCATTTCTGTCTAATATAGTGGTTTTTAAATTGGAGGTCTTTCAGATGTGGAACAGGGCTTTTCATAGACCCAAAACAAGGATCAAGTACGCTCATGGAGGAAAAGACAAGGTTTTATATTTTTTTTAAGTCACTTTAACAGCGGAAACGTAAAGTGGCCAACAAATGCTCCAATGATGCAAAATCAAAAACACGTGCAGGAGTCCAAAATATGCAGCAAAAAAGGCAGACAGTCGCATTAACATCAAATATTTTGCGTACACCAAACTGATGCAACACACAAAAGCAGAAAACAACTGCAAAAGACATAACGCTGCAAATCCACTTTTTAACGGAAGTGCTTCAGGCCTGCAGGGGCGCTTAAGTGAGACAGCTTTATTGTTAGTGTAGCCTGGAGAGTCTGACCTGATTCCAACACTACTGAGGCAGAGACACAGTGGGGATGGAAGGGGAGACCAGCACAGTTTTTTAACCTCAGGAGACCTGGGCGGGGGTCTCCTTAGGCTTTCCGGGATGCCGAGTGCTTGCACCAATGGCTAACAGGGCTTTGTAGCCAACATGTCTGTGCCTTCAGAGTCGGGCAGAGTCGGGCAGAGTCCGCTTACTGCTGTCTGTGTGGCGAACTGGAGCTGAAGTCAGCTGCACTCAGCAGCTCAGAGGAACCTTTGCCGGGTTTGGCCTCACTCAGATCAATGAAAGTTGTTCAGGTTTTATTGACATGTTCATATGGTGGTGTTTCGGCATGGTAGTTATAAAAGACACGGTCATCAGCCCTGATACTGTTTATCATTACATGGATATAACGACTGATAAACTCACTCACTTCTTTGAATATAAATGTGTTTATATTATATTCAATCTGCCTGGATCATTAAACTTATGTCTTGCTGCTGTTTTCTGCTTATTTCTGCAGCTCATCGTTTGTAAAGTTGCCTTTGTCTTTTTTTGCAGCATGGTTTTTATTTACAGTGCATTTCCACAAGTATTGGATGAGAAAATCTCACCCAGCGCTCATACCTGAGCCTAAAAACTCCTGAAACTGGACTAGGATGAGGTTTGGAGCACACCCATCCATTATCTATTATCCCATTTGGGGTTATGGGAGTGCAGTAGTCTATCCCAGCTGTCGTTGGGCAAGAAGCAAGGTACACCCAGTCTATCACAGGGCTGACACATAAACAACTATTTACAGTCACACTCACCCCTATACACACTTCAGAGTCATCTTTTTCCATGACAAGCTCTCCTCTGGATTGCCTGAGCACCTGTAGTTAGCTCTTTTGTACACATACAGCATGCAACTCCACACACTGGCAGGCTCCAGTGGGATAAACTTGCAAGCTGTCCCATTTTTTTCTCTACGTATACTTGACAAGGAATGACAACATGTAACACGTATGTCAGCCAGTATTAGCAACAATGTCCAGTAATTATCACAAACAAAACAAATGACAATAACTTCACACTGATCCTCTCAAGTCAACGACTGATAAACTGCTAATTTGATTTTAAAAAGTGCTTGTATATCTTTTTATCCACATGTAACAACCTTGACAAGAAAGTATCTTCTTTGTGGTTTAAGAGAGTGAAAGGATTACAAAAAGCTCTTCTCAGAAAGAAAATTAAACTGCAGGAACACTCAGCTAGGGATAACAAATGAAATGCTGAAGCTACTCTTAACTAATGTATGACTCATGATGATTTAGTGCATGAATTAATGCGGGGTGAATCATCGTTTCCTGTCCAGTTAAGGAATGCTAATTCACGGGGTCATCCTGAGATTCAAGTGGAGAGAAATTTACTTTCGGAAATTCTTCAAATATATAAAAAGAAATACAAAAAAAAACTTAAAGCATGATCGTGACAATGTACCTGCAGCCAGTGCAAAAGGCCACATAAGTCAACTACACTGAAAGCCCCCCCCCCAAAAAAAACACAGTGATAGCTGCTTAAGGCCACTTTTAGACGGAAACGGTCTCCTTGGAAAACTGAAAATTTTAGTTTCATTTAGGGGGGTCAGTTTAGACGGCAACTGCGTTTTCAGGCGATGAAAACGTATCAAAGTGAAAACCCCCTCCAGAGTGGAAATGTTGCAAACGCTCTGCTAGTCCCGCTTTCGTCTAAAGTACAAAAATGCTGAAAACAGTCAAACCTGTGACGTCCTGGCTCAAGTCGGCTCACGCTTATGACATCATAGCCATGCGCAGCTTCCTTGAAAATAACAACACCAACCATGCTAGACATTCGAGTCGAGATGTCGTTATTATTGAACGGGCAGGAGCTCAATTTCGACCGGTACAGAATCCTCACGGATCATACTGCTCAGCAGAGGAGGCGTCTGAATTATTTGCATCAAATAATTATTGTTTCTAGGAAGTAGAACGGAAGTTGTTCTACGTATGCGTTGTTGGTCTATATGGGAGCGCGGTCACACCGACACGCGCCACCTAGCGACCTGGCATGCACATTACAGCGTTTTCAACCACATTGCGTTTTTGTGTAAACACAGAATAAAAACTGAAAACGAAACAGCACTTTTCCGTTTTCTATGGAGACCGT